GTTATTATTTTTGTGTTGGATAGCGCATTTATCGAGGATAGCTATAGGTTATAAAACATCACTCTACGTCTAATAGGAGGTGAGCAGAGCGCGTGAAACCGCGCGGAAGTAGCAGGTTCTATTATATGAAATTGAAGAGTATGTTTGTTTGAATGCGGTAATATTAGGAACTAATGGTCTGATTTGAAACAATCATTTTGTGTTGGATAGTCCGTTTGTCAAAGTTTTTTTTTTTTAAGGGGAAAATCATCGAATGGCTGCTCCCGCCTGGGTGAGGCGGGAGGGAGTGTCAGACTCTTACTGACTAAAAACCACTCTGTTCCTTCTCCTGCACGTCGAGCCGGAGCCTCGGTTACCCGTTAGGTTCTCCGCGACTCCGAATCGGCATTTGTCAAGGTCTATAGCCTATAAAAAATCAAGAAATCACGGGAAGTAGCTAAATGCTTAATATAAAAAAAATCATGTAAATAATAAAGAATTTGATGACAGCTTAGATCATAGACGTGATTAATTATACTTATCTATTTAGATAGTATTGCATATTCATCAGCATTATAATAAACTAGCAGCCCGTCCCGGCTTCGCACGGGGTAGACAATTATTTATTTTTGGAAATTTGGATTGTTGTAGTGCCATAACTACAATAGTTGGACATATGCTACCGCGGAATTTTTTATTGACATTATGATGTTCTTCAATATTGTTGTACATTATTTTGTTCTATCGCTAATAGTTTCGGCAGCGCATTCGACGAAAGACATTTTAAGACTCATTTTTCTACACCTTCGGTTACATTGTTCAGATTTTACCAAAGAACCCTATTTTTTTTTTCAAAATAAAATGTAGCCTATGTCAAATTGGAAGAATGTAGCATTCTATTGGTGAAAGAATTTTTTAAATCGGCGCAGTACTTTTTGAGCCTATTCATTACAAACATACAAACATACAAAAATAGGTACAAATCTTTCTTCTTTATAATTTTAGTATAGATTGCAAATTATGCACACTTGATGAGAAAACATACATAATTATTGCAAACACAACTTGTTAATATTTTTATTTAATAAATCGAGATATGTGCCTAATATTGGAATGTCGATGTTCCAAATTATTATGACCATAATAATTATCATAGTTGTTTTTAATGAAATAAACCGGTGAACGAGCAGACTGATCATCTGATGGTATGCTATCGGCGTCACCCATTGACAGCCGACACACAGAAGGTGTTACAAATGCGTTACCGGCCTATTGGGGATTAGGAATTTGTGGATTGTTGAGGGATAAGGGATTGGAAAGATTCCTCAAGGAAAAGAGAGATAGAGAGAGAAAAGAAAGAGATTGTAGATTAGTCGGATCTTAAATTGTGGGAAGAGTAGGGTGACAAAATGTTCTACCCTGCCGCTACCACGCAACTCAGAACCGGTATCATGTTATCGATATATTCCATACATAGCCAACTTGACTTGATTTACATACATAACATAACATAAAATCACGCCTTTTATCCCCGAAGGGGTAGGCAGAGGTGCACATTCTCCCACTTAATGCCACTGTACAATGTAACACCCACTTTTCACTATTCCCACGTAATAGGGGGTGAGGCTATTGCCATATACCGGGCACAATTCCGGAATCCGTGCTACTAATGAGAATTTTATTTTAAAAACCCTGTACCTATTAATTTATCCTACCCGGGAATCAAACCCGAGACCCCTTGCACGGCAGCCGCACTAGCGAGCACTCGGCCAACGAGGCAGGCTTTATT